ATCTGGAGAGAGTTGAGAGGATATTAGCAAATGAAAACTGTCCAGATATGAACTGATCTCTGCAATTGATAGTTCTTGTCTAGGATTTTGCTGCGGGAAAGATGTTGGTTGACCAGTGGAATAAGGAAACCGAAATCCTGTTCCAAAACAATTCTTAATGATTTCCAGATAATCCATCATTAATGTCATCTTGAAGAATTCTGGTAATAAAAAAAGAACAGTAATTTGCATTTAAAATAAAAATAATTCCCTACAAATGTGTCTTTTTTGGGTGTCCAAAAGCTTCATTTTCTGGAACTGGACCTGCCTCCTCTTGGCCCGTCGCACTAATGGTTAGCCACCTGTCGTATGGCCGGCGTCATCAGGCCGCCAGCTCACATCTGCAGGCCACGGACGTAGTGATCTGCTACATAATGGAGGGACCGTCTCTTGGATCATTTGTTTATCATCTAGTGTGGGTGTAGTCCATTATGCATGTTCTGTGTGAGTCACATCAAAGTCAGCAAGACAGCCTTTCACTGAGTTTCAACGCACTAACAAAGCATGATTTACCGACATGTTGCCGGCTCACAACTGTGGGGAACCCCATTTTCTGCACAGAGCATAAACACACATTTCTGAATAACCTCTGAATCAAAGCCAGACTAAGGGTGGGCTGACTGATGTGTTGTACTGATGCAGGGTGGTCAACCAGGAGGGTGAAACCAGTCCTGGACCGTGTGATCCATTAATAAGAACCAGTCTGTCTGTGCCACAGTGAAATTGGTTAACACTGTCTTCAGTTACATGAAAGGATCAACCCAATATCACTTAAACCTCAGTCCAAGAATTTGAATCTGAAGTTGGGACGTTGAAGATGTTGTGCCTGCAGCGTACTGCTTAAATGAATATCACATTATTTGGTTGGTCCATGGACCATTCAAATCATGCTTTATTGTGTATTACACAATGTGAATTCAATAATATTAAGGAAAAGAGAACCAAGAGCAAGGTGCAGAAAGACAAACATCTTAGACAAGAGTCTAACTTAAAGTTAGAGACACTGAACTCAACCTGCAGCAAAAACCTCATGCAGTCTGTTTTAAAATATTCTAAAGTGTTATGTAAAGTGCATTGAATTTCCTTTGTGTTCAAAATTTACATATAAACCTTTCTTGCGTTGCATTGTGAAGTGGCTAGACTGAGCTTTACATAGATAGCCAAGTGTGCAGGGCAAATTAAGTGAAATAAGATACTTCAAGATAAATAAAAGAATGACAAAACAGATTCAACCTAATGGAACATCACTTTTCTCCAGCTCAACATTTTTTTTTATGTCCACAAACTCAGAGAGTCATAAGAAGAAAGGCAATGCAAGAGACACAAGCTTTGGGAGAGGATCACTTAAAACCGTGTAAACCCACTAATTGTCAAAATTGCAATAAATGATCAAACGTGTTTTTAAAAACATGCTTTAGCAAATTAAATGTTTTAGTTAATAAACAAAAGTTTTTCACAGCAAGCCAGAGATTTGTCACACTCTGGGATGTGTCAAAATAACTTACCTGAGCTATTACCATTTTTACCATTACCATTTTACCTTGCAAGTTCCAATTTTGTGCAGTGTTTGACCTGCATTCATTTTCTTTACATTTTTGTTTTGGCCACTTGGGGGAAGCACAAGAAGCTATGAACACAAGCTGACACATTTATCACCTTGTAAAGATGATGTGAACATTAAAAAGTTGCCTATTTAATGGACACTGAGCAACATTAGCATTCATTTAGAGTATGTTTTGTGTTCTCCTGAGTCCAGTCTTCTCTCGCCTTATAGCTGTTTGGTCTCCACAGACTCAATATCTGTCTCTTTAGCTGCTAAATGCTCCACTATGTTCACCAGCTAGTCTCACACTTTGTCTAACTGTCGCTTTGTGCTGGGCAGATAGCATACAGTGGGTATCGAAGCTATTTTTGCAGAAAACAACGGTCTGCTGCATTTGGAGCGCTGAGACTGAATCAGAACATTAAGACTGTAAAACCAAAACAATGAGCCAAAAGATGCTAAAATGCTTCTTGGAGCCGAGAGGAACTGCGGAGTTATTATTATGGTTATTGTCTGTTTGCCACGATGAGAAACCCCCCTTACATTGACATAACCATTTCATCCATTGTTAACATAAAAATATTGCAACATGGAATGGGGGGAAGTGACCAAGTAAAAGTAAATCAGTTTTAATACTTCTGCAATAAACTGTCTCCTTAACTCAACAATCTACGACCAATCTTAAAGTGTATTTATGCTACTAACCCTAAATATTAAGCTGAGTCAGCCAAAGATTGAGACTGTGGCGCCTGGCAGATGACCACCTGCGTCACACCACTGTCTCTGTGAGTATTAACATTACTATTATTCAGCTGGAGACGACCATTTCCACTTATGATTCACCTGCAAGTGATGCCAGAGTTATCCAGTCTGGCGTCAAGGGAGTCTACCTGCCATGATATGACTTTAATCTTCCCTCAAAACAGATTGCAAATCAGTAGTGGTTAGCTTTCCTCGCTGTCAGGTGAACTGATATTGATACGTTCTCAGATATTATTTCACAAATGGCTAGGATTTTCCAACATCTGAGACTCATCAACAGTTTTGTCGTCAGAGCATTATCGCTGCAATAACAATGATCAAAATGTGATTACCGTGTGGAGGCCAGGGTGATGATAGCATGTCAGGACACAAGATAATCCCACAGGAAACTCTTTCCAACAGTGCGAGCCAAGAAAACAATCACAGTCTTTAGCCCGGGTGCTCATGTCTGAGTGTCAAAGAAGTCAAGCTGTAAAGAAACTGAGCCTGCTTTGTCTCTTTCTTTTCAAAGATTCAATTTTTTGACACTAATTGACATTTCCCCAAATCTCTTTGTTAATTTGCGGTATTGAAAAAAAGTGACACCTCACCTCAGCACCACATCGCCATCCTTAAAAACGTCTGCACACATTCACCACATGCAGAAGCATTATCTAAAGGCACCAGAAGCTTTGCTGTCCAAAACATTCACATCACCTTCCGTCCATCGGGATACTTTAATCATCTGTGACTCAGATTCCTGTCACGTCTCATCATATGGTTCCTCTGGACATCTCCACACTTATCAGCACCAGAGCATCAAAATGTTGCTCATGCTCCGCCGGCATATCAGCAGTATATGTCATTTTAAATGTCTCCTCTTTTCTGCTTGCATGTATTAAATTGATGAATGTGTTTGAAATGCTAGACACTCCAAACCGGACCCATCCCTATTTGCGGTGGTCCTCTGGTTCCCTTTCAGCCACTCTCCTTTGGGACATTTTCAGCTGTTTAATCCGAGGAATTATAGGCTTCCAACATCCAGTTGAACATCACCAGCTGTTTATGGAACAAATCAAAGTTTTTCCCATGAGGCATTGTTTTTATTTTGCTTGGTTATTCGAACATGCTCTTTTATTCATCCAACTGAACACATACAAGAAATATTCATAATGTCCGTGGTACTTAATCAGCTGAGCTGTCTCACTCTTTTCTGACATATATATTCTGACATTATATCCAGCAAGTAACTTTTCCTGAGAAAATGGATGATTTCTTTTGAAATCCTTTTCTGCAAAAAGCAACGGTCTGATGGCAGTCTTTCAAGGCAAATCACTGTGACACTCCGGTGACAAAGGTGGCTAAAAAAGTGTCGCATCTAAGCATCTACAGTTACATCAAACAAGTTCAATACTTCCTCCCACTCCCCAGTTCAGTTGGTTGTCTTTTGTCTCCAACAAAAGAACTTGACACTTTGAATTGGAGCCTGTGATGGATCGCTTTTGAGGTCAGAAGCCTTTAACGGTATACTGGTTTCATCCCAGTCCAGCCGAGCTTCCAGCCTTGAATAGATAGTTCCACCTTGTGTGAAGACTAGAGCATTATTAGGCGTAGAGTCATAGAGCCATTGTGGGAAAGATGGTTTTGGTGACTGGCTGATTGTTTGGCTTTTGTGTTTGATTTACATGCACTGTATAGTTTCTATATGTGCATCACATTGTTTTCATTTTCAGGAGTATAATAGTCAGGAGGATGATGCACTGAGAAGATGATTTGATGGATTGTTTTGGTTTAATAATTGCAGCAACATTTGAAATAAAACTTTTAGAACATTACATACTAGAAAAATGCAGTAACATAGATTTGCAATAATTTTGAGTTTAAAAACTGTGAACGTCACCAAATGAATTACCTTTAGGCAGAACTTGTGTCCCTGTCCTAAATGCCTTATTCTTCCAAAATCATAGGCTTTACCTGTCTGAAAGAGTCCATTGTACCTCCACATGTATTATCTAACCAACATGAATATAACTTATCTTGATACAAAACTCTAAGAATCTAACAAAGGAGTCTCTATAATACTTGTATCACTAACTTTATCACCATTGGCATTCCTTGCATAACGAGGGATGCCTCTCCCACAGAGGGAAAACAATGGTTATCAGTTTTTTTTATTCTAAGTTATTCCGGAATGCTGGTTAAATGGATCCTGAACAACCTCTTGGTTCTTTACATTTGACATTGGTCAGGGCATCATGTCAACGAGAAGCCTAATCCAAGACTAAATGAAAATTGTTAATTGCTTTTGAGATGGATTTTTAATTTTTTTTATTTTACATATAACACACAATTCTAACTTTCGATCACTGAAAATATTCCACGTTACCTATAATCCCTCTTTATAGCAGCCTCACCAAGACTTTTTTTCCGTTTTCTACGCGCCCAACTGCCTCGCAGTTAAAAGGGTCAAGTTAAATACACAGTGTATAATTTTATAGCCTTTTCCCAACGGGGCTACTGGTGCCGATGTCGAGACGACAATGTGCAAGCAGCAGTGCCGCACACAGATCAGTTTCATTCGTTGTCAGTTGTGAATAGGGGCGGAGGAAGCAAACTCATTAGAATCCTATAAAAAGAAAGTATCCGAGATCGTAAAACACCCGACTGCTGGACTAAGTGCTCACTCTCAGCCAGACAGAGACAGAGAGGAAACCTCTTGTCAAGTTTGTCTCTGACCTTCAGAGCATCAGCATTTAAACAGATTCACTTCTTCATTTTTTTCGCTTCCATACTGGGCTCTGTGTTTTTCAGATATCCTTGTCGATGGCAGTCATTCTTCTGAATATCTGATTTTCAGGAACAAAAAGGTGTCCCCATCACCAATCCCTGTATTGCAGTCGGGCAAGCGTGACGCATGGACACTGACAGGGCGCACACTTCTCAATGAGAAGCTTCATAAATTGAGGTTATTCAAGTGAGTTTTTTTCTTTTTTCTTTTTGGTATACCAGAATTGTTTTGTTCGAGGATGCTCGTCTCAACTTGGAATAGATGCTGTGCCGTGATGTTTCTCGTCGCTACACTGAAGACCGAGACAACCCAGGTATCAGAGGCGCGCCCAAAGGCGAATTTAATCAAGCCAGCTCCGTTTGGAGGGACGCCTACACCCGCTACAAACCGCTCCGACACTGTCCAACTCGGGATCACCAAGAGATATAACATGCTTGCGCAGGTAATTTCATTTATTTAATTATTCACATAAATGAATATACCAGAACTACATTTTCACAAAGCCTGACATTGGGTTGCAGGATCAAAGCCATTAATTATTAGGGGTAATAATAACTTAACGATTCCAAAAGTAGTGTCCAGTCATTCTAATAAGCTGAACAACGAAAAATAACAGACTTTTCTTCATTTAAGTTACATTATAAGTGTGCCATTGATCCAGATAAGCGTGCGTGATTGTGCAGGACGTCTCCAAAACTGTACCTACGGAGTATCTTGAGGTGTGAGGGTAAACTGCCTTTAAAACGGCTCTCTCACGTGGGAATCGTTATTGAAAATTGCAGGGATTGGACCCTCATAAACCCTAATTGCCTGTCAGACCTGACGCCACAGTCGGGTGCAGCGCACTTCGACGGTAAATCATTAATGCCAGCAGAAATGTGAGAAAAAGTTAACACTTGGGGTAATTTTCTGTCTGGGTCTTAGTGTCATTAAAGTGACCCAGACGCTTGCTGGGATTATGAGATTCTTGCTGGTGGGCCTCTGAGGGATACTCTTACCAACCACTTAATACCCACTCAAAGAGTTATCAATTCCTGCTGTTTCAACAAAGTGCCATATTACTGTAGTTTGAGAGCAAACATGGGATCAAAAATGTTAAACATTTGGCAGGTTTCCTTCTGGCAAACGTAAAAAGTTGTGAACATTACAAGTTTTATCAAGTGCAGAATTAGAGCCGTAGATTTGTATTGCTTGGCCAGGAAAGCAAAGTTTGATTTCTTATACGTGAATGTTTTAGGGTTTTTTTTTGAAGAGGAAAACAGATACTGGTGTGGAAAATAAAAATGACTCATCAGTCGAACAAAAAACTGACAAAAGCCAGAAGGCCTTCATTTCCCATTACCATTAACTCTAAGTTTTAATTGAACACGTTGGAGTCTGATTATGTTGAGATCAGAGCTTTATGAGCAGCAGAGGGCACTGCCTCATCTCCATCAGCTCAGAGAAACAGCTGATCACTCTTGTCTCACCTGTTAACTCTTGTTTACATTTGGCCTGTTCAACTGTCTGTAATATCACTTGCAGTAGTGATAGTGTTGGATATCTGTGACGTGCGTAGTGCTGAGAGCAGCTCCTTGAACATCCAGCTCAGGCAGCAGAAATTATGAAAAAGCCACTTTCTCCAACCTCAAGCAAGCCTGCCAGACCTCAATTTGAACGCCTGCTTACATCTTTCCCATTGCAATAATCTGGAGCGGTTTGGAAGAGTGGTCTGAGGAGAAACAATATGTGTGTCCAGAGACCACTATACTGTTGCAAAAGTAAAATATCACAGTGCTGTGTGTCCAAATGAAGACGGCTAATAGCATTTATTGCAGGATGGGGTATACATACAGTATATATGTGTGTGTGTGTGTGTGTGTGTTCTGGCTGCCAGGAGGTTTTCCAGAGCTGTAAATTAACAGCCGCAGCTCAGCCTTGGCCAGAAATGCGGCTTGACGCTGGCAAGCAAACGGCAATGACCTTCTGCATCTCATGATACAGTGGCCATTTATGAGCAGAATACATTACAGATAACAAGTCAGCTCTCTTCACAAGGCTGTAATGGCAAAGTGTGGTGTCTATTTAGTCTAGGAGCGATCACAGGGAGTATATAACTGCAATTACTCTACCTTAGATTTTTTAATTATGATAAATGCCTTGAAACAGGTTGCATAGCACAAAACCGCACATGAGTCATTTTCTTTCTGAAGTGGTTCACAGCAGGCACCCCAAAAATATTTTCATCATCGTCTGCAATTGTGAAGTGAATTACTGCTGATTAAAGCTTGGGTGTAAGTTTGGAAAATGGGCATGCATCAACTCAACAATTTTTCCTCTGGCATCTGCATTATGGGAAACCTCAGAGCCGATAGATATCCTGCGAGTAGATTTATGGTCAAGGCGTCATGCTGTTGAGCTTGTTACAATTGGTTAGGAATAGTTGGCAGATTATCACACCTCTGGAGGATTCACAGTGGGTTCAGGATGTGAGTGTTTGTGAGCTTGCCAGTTATGTGAGATATAATATCAATAATTTAAAAAAACCTCTTACTCATTTTTTACCACATTTACATGATATAAGGCAGCTCGTTCTCTTACAGTTAAAGATTAGAGTTACTTGAAATCTCCCCAAAAATCACCCTCAAATGTAGCAAATTATTGAGGGAGACAGTCCAGCCACCCTGTGGAGACAAGCCGCTGCAGCAGGAAACAAGGGTGTAATTTGGTGTTTGATCCATCAGATTAGAAACGCTGCTCAAAGCCTTAGTTTATTTGACAGCTTAATGTGCTTTTATTTCCTGTTACTGCTGACATCGTTGGGCGATAAAGCTTACACAAGCCACACACAAACCAGGGTCAGGTTTTGGCTATCTCTTGGGTTCAGTCGGGGAGCAAACTGCAGAGTGTTTTCCCGTTGTCTGACCCTTTTCACATCAGAAAATCTGAGAAAACCAAAATGTAAGCCTCTCAGACCTTGACAGCCAGCATTCTTCGGTGGCACTGTTGGCTCTTGGAAGGGAACCAGCAGAAAGGGATAGCATGAGCAGGCAGTGCTTACCAATGTAACCTCTGAAGCCTCAAGGGAACCGACAGCGTGACGGCATTCATGCGGTATACGTGTCTGTAAAACATCAGTCAGCCTTAACTAGTTGCTTTATTTAATTCAACACAGAGATTACTTTAACAAGCGATCTCTGGGGGCTCTGCCTATAAAAGTAGAGCCACGTCCTTTCTCTTTCTTTCTCTAACCTAAAATGAACTGAGATGAGCTGAGAAAAGAGGTGCGAGTGCTTGTTAGCGCTCGGCTCAGTTTATCCTGTGGCCTTTCCACTCTGTGGGTCCCTTGGGCGCTGTGAGGGCCCTACACTGGAGCCATTAGGGGTCTCCTGTGGAAACCTCCTTTACTGAATTGGACCTGTCAATGAGCGAGGAGACCCACGCACCACAGGATTACACCTTTTAGAGCAGCACACCTCATAGACTACCATCAAAAGCTATTCCGCTTTCCTTTGATACTCTTTGAAGAGAGCAGTCGTGTACGCTGTCTGTGTGCCTCTCCTCGTGTCCGATGAATAAGATCAACCCAGAATGTATACTTAACTTAAGGAAGGTCTAGTTTTTGGAGACTTTGGATTCTAGCACTCAAAGGGACATGCCATAAACACATGTGTTTTGAGTGATGAAAGACGCCAAGCTGTGTTTGAAGAAATGGTTTGTACGAGTGACTTGTGTGCAGCCATCCCTATGTTATCTGATACCGGCTGTCTGTGCTTTCAGGGCATATGCAGTTTGTTTATTCAGTGACATCGTTTATTTGGCTCTGTAAGGCCCCTGCCACTCATTAACACTATTCACAGTTTCAGGTTCTGTGCCTGATTTCTGAAGGTCAAGTGCAATCACGACATGCAGCTCAAAAAGCGTGGATGTGGAGAGTAAAGAAGTCCTTTACTGAAGCTTTATTGTACTTTTCTTAATAATGTCTTTTGACTCAGACAAACACAATGGAAGTACAGCATGTATGAACTGCTCTTATTTCTCAACAGTGTCCCTTTATGTACAAACAATACGGGATTTATGTACAAACAATAGGTCTCTGAGAACACATGCTGTAAAATGGCCTTGCTTTTTTACAAAGTGAAACATAAAGTAAACCCTCAGACTCAAACTAAACAATAGAGACAATATGTTGTGTTTTTAATGCATTACAGTGCACTTCTATCAAATTATATCAGCACTTTGGGATGACTCTACCAAGGTAAATAAGGGACCCAAAGACCAGGGGGGATGGTTCAAAGCCCTGTATATCCGGCAGTAAATCCCTTGTAGATTGTCGCTCCTGCACATTTAAGGTTCTTCTTCAAAGCCACAATGCTTAACCAGCAAGAGAGCAGCACGAGACAGGGCCAGAGGCTTCCCTTATGGCTCTCTGTCTGTCTCTTCCTTTATCATCTCACCAGCATACCAAGAGAGGCTGCAGACTACACCGTTCTCAACCCGCTTCCTCCGCAGGACCCAATGCTGCGCTTTTATGTGTGAAGGCTTTCGAGGGAAAAATAAGGGAGCAACAGAAAAAAAGATGTGAGATAAATGAGATGCATCCAAATGAAACCCTATCCCTCAGAAGTTGCGTATGAGGCGATTTAAAACATGACAAGATAAGGCAAGATTATCAGCCGTGATTTGGGGGTCAGCCTTGTATCATTGGGTTTCAAAGGGCTGTCTTGCGGTTTGAGCCTCGATGGAGGAGGTGAGCCCTGTGCTTATTCTTCTTCTCCCACCCCGCTCCCCCTCCACATGCACTATACACTGTAATCGATCCAAGCCTCTGGCCAGAAAGACGGATAGGAATCAGAGCAGGTAATATGAAGTACTACTGCACGTGGCCTGGCCCATTTATCTTCATATTTAGATAACAGCACATTTTTCATGTCAGGGAAAAAAACTCCCACTGCACTTTATTTAACTTCTCTTCAGAACATATTTCCCTCCTCAGCTGTGATTATACCATAGTCCATGGCGATGAAGATGTTTCTCTGAATGAGCTGAGAAAACTGTGAGATGTGGTCAATGCGGTGTGATTCACTTTCTGGTTGAGAGTTAGATTAGCGTTATCAAAACCGCTCTAATGTCTTTGTCGTAGAGACAGAGCTTGAGCCGATATGATTAGTTGAGCTTAGCATAAAGAGTCAGCTTTTCCACAAATCAAAAATACACTACAGCTCAAATTGACACATTTTCATTTTTGTTTGTTTATTGATGGATTAAACAAAGGATAAACATTGCATTAAATAGTGAGCTTTAGAGGTGTAGGTGGCCATATTTTTGAGGAGAGAGCCGGGTTAGCTGTTTCCCTCTGGTTCCAGTCTTTATGCTAAGCTAGGCTAATTGCTTCCGTGCTCTACCTCACCATACTTAATGCACATACTGAATGCATGTGAGAGGTATTCATTTTGTCATTTAACTGTCTACAAGAAAACCAAACTGTCAAACTATTCCTGTAAGATTATTGTTATTATTATTATTATTATTTTTGTGAGGAGCTCAGATTTTAAGGGCTACTCCAGCCATTTATATTGCACTTCCATAAAGTGTGGGGGCTTGCAACAGAGAGCTTACAAAAGGAAAGGTCAAATTCCTGGATCTTACGTTTCCCATTGATGGCATTTATGCAGCATTAGACTCTACCTGCCTTGTCTTTTTACAGACTCTGTTATAAGAATCCCCCTAATGCCGAAGCCAAAACAACCCTAATGACATCACCAGAGTTATTTTCTCAGATTTTAATTCCTCCGGAACCAGAAGACAGTAGCCTATAAAACTGAATAGTTCTCCCTGCGACAAGTAAACTGGTCTTCATGTGTACAATTGGTGGAATGTCCTTTGAATATTCTGAGAACGGCTCTGAACACAGTAGTAATTAAGAAATATTTGGAATCCATCAAACCTCAGGGCTTTGTTACTTTCATCAACACATTAAGCATCTGTATTGTGGGAATCTGTCATAATGATGGATGACGATTCAGTTTAATATTCCTGATCATTTTTCTACGCCTGTATCATTGCCTCCATGTGTTTCCAGGCTGAGCAAGTCAGCGTGGCATCTGTCCAACAAGTCTAATCTCGTTCACTTTCTAAAACAAAAGCACGTCGTTGGGTAACAACTTCCAATGTGCTGAAATATTGATTGTTGAGTTCATTTTAACATCTGGAGTACATTCTTGTGTGCCTGTTCTTTTGGCATGGCATCCCCTTCCTGCTGACCTTTATACCCTAAATGAAGTTTGCTATTTATTGGGGCTAAAGTTATTTTACTCTGATTCAAACCTCTCTCTTGTTCATTCTCGTGCTTATTGTTCCATGTTTGTCAGTGGTAAGCCACACTGAATCAGATCTGTCAGTGCAATGCCAGCTAAATGTGGTTGTGGTGTTGGTGGTGGTGTGCCAGTCAAACATGTTGCTCTAATGTCGTTTACACTGGACACAATTTACAATACGTCCATATTTACTGACCTGCATATTTGAATATGTGTCCATCCATTGTGATTACCATGTACGAAAACAAAAGAGAATAAAATAAATAAAATAAAATAATTTGAGAAACACAGTGACCTAACCTTTATTATGTCTTGCCCAATGGATGTGGACTTGAGCCAGGGTAATGATGCTTCCCTCCAGCTCTTCAAAATGTCCCTCTCGCTTGATGATTTCAGTGCAAATAACATCATTTCATTTGGATTGGGGAGTTAATTTAATTTGGGAAAACCATTTAGGACAAACTCCTTTGCTCCTGCTCCAAGTCTGATGGGGACAGGACAGGCATGTGTAGGGAATTATATCAAGTACCAGTAAATCTCCGCATTGGTGCATACAATTGTTGTGGAAAAAGTAAGTGTGGCTTTAATTGTACTTCTCACTGCTGTAGACAGCCGATGTGTTTGTTAAGGTGATCATTTTAGTGCACTTACGGAAAAGACTTAAAGTTATTTGTGTGCTTTGCTGAACAGCAGAATATGTTGCAACCTTTCAGTGTAAACACAAAAATACTAAAGCTCAAACAATGGCAAGTTGACTCTGAAGGAGTATGATTAGCTACAGTAATTCCCCCACAATTATGTCTGTAGGCTGATTAAGCCTCTGAACACTTTTGGAGAAATTGAGAGAAACTGAAGTGGTCTCTCTTGGTTTGTAAATTGTAATAACTCTATTGTCTGGGACCTGAAACAAATGACCACGCTAGTGGGAGCGATGTTAATCCCTACAACATGTTCACATGTTCCCTACAACTCTAAAATTGTAGGGAGTTCACCCGAAGAGAACAACCAACATATTTTCCCACTTACCCCCAATAGTATCATGCCATGCAGAGAGCTTGGGGTTAATTTGCCAAAGTTTCAGATCTCTGCATGCTACTTAGACGTCTGCCACCACCTCAATACAGAGTGATGGTGAATGGCATTTGGTTTTGATGTCCAAAACATAAAAAAATGACTTTTGTAAAACTTCACAGCACTGTCTCCTTCCAGAACCAGTGTTGCTCTCAAACTGTTAAAGAGTAAACAACAGTCAGATAACCTGTGATTAAATACAACATGGCTTTTATCTAGAAAATGCAATGTTGTTAAAATAAAAGTGGAATTTTCTAACCTGATGACTAAAGCCCAACTTAAATGTCATTGATCATGTCTTGTTTTTGCTCTAACTATGTTTTCTTTTCTGGAGAGAGTCTCTCCAAATACCTCTAACCTGAGCATAACATGGGTTTTATTTGGCTTGTTAACTGCTACAATTAAAATTTTGCGACCGTGGGGTGCACGGTGCAACTGTGGTGCGCCGTGTATAGAGTGGAATTAGAAGGAATGCAGTTACTGTGTTATGTCTGCGTAAGTTGAGGTTTGCAGGGTTGTGACCAGATAAAATCCACTACTCTTTAACAACGGTGTCCTCTGCAACACAGCACTCTGATTATCTGGGAGAAATGTTGTAAACATAGCAGATGTCCTTGTGTGGGAGATAGCACACCACCTACAACTGTAGGCCCCATCTAATTAAATTCATTGGGATGGAGATAACTCATTGGTTTGCCATAACAAGAAGATCCACTAGATTAGTTCGATTTTGAACAGAGTTTGACAGGATCAATGTGGTTATGGGCCATCGGGGCCAGCCTGAGTGATGCAATTAAGGGAATTTGTTACTTATGCCAAAGCCACACGTGTGTGTCCTTCAAAAATTGCATAAAACATGACTGCACCTTCTGACATGCACCTCTTGACGTAATATGAGCAGATGGACTTGCACTTTACCCACACCTTTTGTTCAGCAAAATTCTATAAGTGTGCTTGTGCATTGCGCAACCTTTTATAAATAAAGAGTAAAACGCTGCATCTTTTTCCTCAGCAGGTGTATCCATGCAGCAATGATAAGGAGTGCAGCGTGGGAAGCTACTGCCACAGCCCGCAACAGGCTCCCTCTCGCTGCCTCACCTGCCGCAGGAGGAAGAAGCGCTGCCATCGAGATGTCATGTGCTGTCACGGGAACCGATGCAGTAACTGTACGTGTCTGACACAAACACGTTTTCAGTGCATGCTAGTTTCAGTTATGTTGTGACTGCAGGATACAATTCAGAAATTAGATTGCTGGCCTAATGCAGATATTCTGGAAAATAAGCCGAATTTAGCAATCTCTAACACAAACTACTGCTGTTTTTATCTGATCTTTTAACTTGTTGGCCATCAGGTTGAACAGTCTCTTACGTTGGCTTGTTTCTTGACAAAGTACAGTTGCTATTGGTTTCTGTCATGTTTGATCTCTTCTTTATTCTGCCTGCAGATATGTGTGTCCCTATCTCTGAGAGTGTGCTCTCACCTCACATCTCAGCTTTAGACGAACATAACAAACTCTCCACCAAAGACCACAGCTGGAGAAAGAGTGGGAAGGCACATGCTAAGCATTCTCTTAAAGGTGAGATTATGTTTAAAACATGTCCACCAGAAACCCTGCCCTCTGTAAACACTGTCACTGTTGTTTTGTTTCTCAGCTTTTCCTGCTGTCGATGGCAAAATCTCTCTGTTGTTCACTGTCTGCATGTCCTACAGAGTTCATGGGCGACGCCAATCCACAAACTATGTTGATAATTACCCCTCTGCTCATGTGTCAGTGTCTGTGTGTTTAAAGCACAGCATGGGGAGCCTAAAAGCAACCACAATGCCCCTGCTGTTTCTCCACCTACATAAAGCCATGCAAACCCTGTCATTGACAGCTCACACACTTGTGTGATACACAAGTGAAAACCACAGAATGCAGGTTTGGCATGATTATAGCTAATAACTCTCTGAGCCCCCTGCTTAGTGTTCATGTCACCTAATGTAAGTCAATGTAAGGGCATATCCATAAAGCAATTCATTTAATGAGATACTTAAATTACTCAACTCTAAATGCACCCTCAAGACAGCAGGCTGCAATGCTAAAATCAATATGAAAATAGCAGCACTACTTAAAGTTGCTATAAATAAGACCATTTAATTGTATCTGTGCTTCACTCACTCCCTCTCCTTAAACATTATTGTATTATAATGGCCTTATGTAAGTCGCTGCTTGAGAAAGAAATCCACCAACAATCCGTGGTGTTAAAGCAATGAACAAGCAGTCAGGCTTAGCAGTCCATCATGCTGATGCTTGGAACTTGAAATAACTTTTCAGCAAAGTGTGGTTTTGTCAGCAATACAGGGCAACATGGTTTGAAGGATGAAGCTTTTGGCAGGAGGTGATACACATTTTAAAACTGCAGGACTAAATTATACTAATTATGCATTCATAAGAGCAGTGGACAGATCCTGCCAAGAATATCAGACTCAGACCAGATGGGACGATATGGTTAATGTACAGAAAAAGCAAATTGTTTTCTTGATTTATGTTGAAAGCTTCATGCTTTTCTTTGGTCTCCGACATGGCCACATATACTGCGATCGTGAAGAAAGGGTTGCATAAACATATCCGTATGGAAAACATAACAGCTTAATGAGCAATAATCGTACATTTCCTGTGCTTTATTTAACCAAAGCACTATACAGCAAAACTCCAAGATGCTAGATGATTTATAACTTCATGCAGGTCTTTTATGTCTCTGATGAAGCATTTGGTTCTGTTTTTTCTGAGCAGACAATATACTGTTTGTAGACGTGTTGTTCGCTGGTTCCCCACTGATCAGCCTTCTTTCTTGTCCTCATCTGTTAGGGCATGAGGGCGACCCTTGCCTGCGTTCATCCGATTGCTCGGAGGGCTACTGCTGCGCCCGCCATTTCTGGACCAAAATCTGCAAGCCGGTCCTGAGGCAGGGAGAGGTGTGCACCAAGCAGAGGAAGAAAGGCTCTCACGGCCTGGAAATCTTCCAGCGCTGTGACTGTGCCAAGGGCCTTTCCTGCAAGGTGTGGAAAGACGCCACCTCCTCGTCCAAGTCCAGGCTGCACATGTGCCAGAAGATCTGAAGCAGGGGCAGCTGCTTTCGGCGTGGAGGCCTCTGTCTCCATCTGCCAGGGGAAATTTTTTGTAAAGGATGGGTTGTGGCTGTATTAAAAAAAGGAGTAAAAGACAGAGACTAACAAGAGAAAGAACAGACTGTGTGGGTTCAAGCTCTCTAGTTGGAGAGTGAGTGGGATTGCTTTAATGTGTTTGCTGTGAGTGGTCCATACCTGCACCCACACACAAACTTGCACCCTCACACACACACACACACACACACACGCACACACACACACACACACACACACACACACACAGACACACCCCTCATGGGTTTGTGAGATTAATGAGCTAACAAATAAATGATAAACTTTTTAGACATTCTCGTGACATTCAGGGAGCCACAAAGTTAGCCAGTATATGCTGTGATAGGTGTGAACCTTTTCTAGAAGGAGGCAACAGACGTAGCAGTCTTTTATCAAGCCTCAACTTATAATAATAATAAGACAAATAGACTATTTATAGACAAGCCATAGTTTCACTGCACAGTACATTCTTTACCAAACCCCAAAGTGAAAGATCTGATGGGTGTAATGATGTGTTTCATCTGTCATGACTTGTTATCTGTTTTATCAGATTTCAATATCTCACTCTGCTTGGTGTTTGTTTTAAGTATTGAGGAATTCAGCTTTACAACCAGTAACAATATCCAGACCTACAATATACCAGTTATATCATATGAGGAACATACTCCATACACTGCTCAGTCCAGCGCTTGACTTGTGCAACAGCATGCTGGGACTTCAATGCGCGTATAATACTTTTATTAAACCAAAGAATGAAAGAATATTTACATCAGAGTGATGAGTTTCATCTGGGACATTAGCTCCTCGCCCGATTTTTAGCCACAAGAAGAGATATAAAGTATCGTGTCCTTTGTGTAAACCTCGTTTGATCTGTCAGATACAGCTGCAATCTATTGTGATACAACTGTGTGGGTTTAAACAGTTTGCACTGAGGTAGTGCTCTGCTGTAGACTTTGTGGTTCCGATACCAGACCAGAGAACGGTTCTGCTTTTCCAATCACATGAACAGGACTCAAGATTACCATGGAAGGGCAATTTTTTCCGTTTACAAAGCAAAGCCAGTAGAAATGGAGACGTGAGAAGATTGATTAAAGTAACAAAAACGCTCCATGAACCTGATGTTTTCAAAGAGAATTTCTGTTTGAATCAACATTATGTTGATGGCACTCAGCCCTGTTTATTTTTCAGTTTTTCAAATACGACTGCATACTTTCTACTCATGAAATACTGTGCAGTTTTTTGGTACTAGAGGTGAACCAATGCCTCAGCATAACTTCTTTAAACATCCGTTACCTACATATTCAATATGATATCACATTTGCCTCTTTTTGCTTTAATGCTTTTAGAGCATCAACTACACATCTTTTGTAACCAAAATATCAATAAGCTCTTATATTGTAAATAGATTGGAACCAATGAAATGTATTTAAGAATCAATGTATATCATGTACATATAATAAAGATATGAATCTTAAACATTACAGCAAAATTATCTAGGTGAGAAGAGTAGTGAGGGATGGAACGGGACGAGCACAGTTGGATAGATTCAAGATAATGTTGAAATAATAAAAGCTGCGTGAATAGCCAGAAGGGAAAAACATAGATACAGACTGGCTGCATCGAAAGGGATTTTTTGGAAGAAGAGAGACAAGCACATTCATTTCCAAAATAGTTTGTGTAAATGGTGTCAAGATTTATATCTCACTAAATATTGTCTGTGCTGATGCTTTTAATTTGTTTCGTGTATTTACAATGATGACTGAATAAAAGAATGTATTTTGTATCATTTGTTAACTGCTTATCATTACATTGTGTTGCTTGTTATGTTTTGTTGAGTTTTTATAGTGTGCAACATGGAGGTAAAACCAAAGGAAGATGAAATATGCTGACATTATGCATTATGTTTTTAGAATGATAAAATTCATCAATCAAGCGAACAGGCTTGTTTCAGACAAGCAAAAGCTCATTTAACCAGCTGCACATTTTTAAAAGTATGGGCGCAGGCTGAAAACTCACCTCTTCAAGAAGGCCTACCCTTCCGCTTAGCACTTACTTAGCATCTATTGTATTCATACTAGCTTATTGCACTTATTGTTTTTATATTAGTTTGTGGCACTTATTGCATTCGTTTGTTTCTGCACTGTACGTTGGCTCTGGTTTATGCTCTTAGATGCTTGTTTGAGGAAAGGACATGCACTTATTACTTCTGGTGACTAGTTGTTCTCTCGAAAACTGATGTTGAATACACATATTGTAAGTCGCTTTGGATAAAAGCGTCTGCTAAATGACTGTAATGTAATGTAATGTAATGTAATGGGCTGATTCACCTGTTGCTTTGCATGACATGAATGTTAAAGCCCCTGAAAACTTGGTTTCAGATTTTAAAGGTGCCCTGTGAAGTTTTCTTGTAAACAAACAAAGTTATGTTTACATTCAGCGTACTCATCAAAATGCATCGTGTGTTGCCTTAAGGTCTAAAAAAACAAACGTGCTGAATGAATTTTTCATCGTCAGAAAACATTTGAAAAGCTGATTTTTGAAGAGTTTGAAACCTGCATTGTTTACATACATGTTTAGTTTCAAGCAATCTTCTCCCTTGTGTTTTGTTTATGCATTGCTACGTTTCTTAACATGTTGCTGCCACTAGCAGATTAGTGGAATAATGCGAAACCTTTGGCAGGAATATGTATTTATAGGACCCACTCATAAACACAGCGGTTCATTGCGCTTTGAGTGGTCAAAAACTCTACAGGGTACCTTTTTAAATCTTTCTCAACTAAAGTAAATATACATGACTAAATCAACAAACAAAGTTGGGGGGGGGGGGGGGGGATTCTTGCGTAGCTCACTTGGAAGAGGGAATCTATAGGCCTTTAATAAACATTATCCACACAGCTGATTGACTGCAGTGACTGCACCTCGTGATAGTGAATTTATACCCTAACTAATAAAAAGTAATCTTTTTTAAAAAGAAAACCAAATCCATGAAGTGTTATAAATAGCAGTTGCACTGCTTAAGCATATTAAAATGTAACAGAGTTTTTATATTAGTCAGATTATACGCCACCATGTCAATTGACCATATAATCCAAACTGAAATACTCATCATTTAAAATATATTTTGGAGACGCACTGATGCGGCAAATCCTAAAACAATTCATGGTCACTTAAACCACCAACCAACCAACCAACCAACTGTGTCTGCATTTGAGATTATTTCATGGGCACAAATAAGACCCATTATAGTCTGATGCATTGCAGATGTGATCTATAGGCAATATGCTTTGAAATTCTCCTTTTACAGTAAAAGATTTGTAGGACATGTTTGGTTAGGTAGAGACCCCTTACTTTTTTTAATAGAATCTTATACATTGAATATGATTGAATACAACTTATTCAATGGCATCTTTAAATGTGATTACTGTCCTCCATCACTTCAGACAATGTGGCAACATGTGCTGAAAGCTCTCCGAGAGGCTTCTTGCAAAACAAAATTTCTAGAACATTATTGTACAACTTCACTGGGTCCCGTTATGACTGTTCTCAACAGTGAGACATATTTTTTCCATCATCTCTAACAGGAGACCTACAATTTGCAAAAACATCAAATGCAGCGGCATCGTTGTGGGGCTATTGTTCTCCACAAAATGCCTCATTATGTTCAAAATATGTATTTATTTATTGGGCAGGGGACTTGTTCTTTCACATGTCAGCTTATCTTGCCCCTTCCCCTAGGTTACAAAAATGTTGAATAAATTAATAAATAAATCTTAATCTTAACAGCAGTGCCATACAGCTACTTTCAAGCCTTTTTCAGGTTGTTACCAGATGTTATTAGGTGGCCAGAGAAACTGCTACAGTGCTACACCATATCTACCACAGTATTGTTTGCGATTTACAAGCATGTTGCAGTAAATATTCCAGGACCTTCTGTCAGTATACGTTAACATAACAGTCAGTGTAGCCAGCATTCCAAGATAAGCCCTACTCATTGGGATCAGTAAGTACAAATCTTTAGCATAAACATCTGGCGCTACTATGAAACGAACAGAGCGGAACAGGGGATTTTCTGTCTTGTTGATTTTATTTGCTTTCTCTCTCTAATTCCTCTATAAATAATTGTATTATACATACTCAATTTTTCCTCCAGTTTTTAGCTTATTTTACAGACTATGTGGAAAAGTCTGGGAGTGACCTCTTATGTTTGTGTTCACCAGATGTTTAATATTTGCATTTCAAAAACGGTGTGACTCCTCAACGTTTACCTATTTACACCATTATCTTCTTCTGTTTTCCTTATTTCTCTTCACCTTTTTATATCAATAGAAACAATATTATGTAACAGAACTTTTCTATGTTGTGCATTCAGTTGTACCTCTTTTTGTTGGTGAAAGACACAATACATTATTTGCTCACATTCCTTGTCAGTAAAAAGCAGAAACCTGCAATAATTATTCAGCACCAAACTCTGCGCGTTACAATGTTGTGTTTTCAATCCAGCAAGTGTCCAGTCATTTTTTTTCACATGTGTTTTTGATTGAAAGTAATGACGCTACCCTACCTTTGTTTGGATAAGGTTTCTATTTGCTTAAACATTGGATGCCTTTTTATCTCCTCACACACTGGAAAAGGTACATTCAGGGTCTCCATGGAAAGAAGAGGTAGATACAGAAACAAAGCACTTTTCTCCAGCTCCAGGCCACCCACAGGCTCTGGAGTCTCCACCAAAAACCTGCTAATGAGAGAGTCACTGTCACTGGCTCTGCACTTTCCAGCGTGTGTCAGCAGAAAATACAAATGAAGGAGTTCACACAGACAGGTTTGACTGCCCATGAAGTTGCCAGCTAAATAAATATGCTGAATGATTCAGGCTTTGATTTCGTGCCCGTGTTGGCACAGTGCGGATCATAAATGTAATTTGGGTATTTATGGCTCATATCATTCTCTATGGCAGAGAGGGAAAGTTTTCTCGAGCAAGCGGGCTTCATGACTTTATCACATGGACATCTGCGTCTGTCGAACTTACACATAATGCAAGCTGTTGCAGCAGTTTTATGATGTTTATGGCAATAAGATGGCTTTTATTTGCCTTTTATCTGTACGTCTTTATTTAACAAGACAACTCATTCTCATCCTGAGCAAAGTTAGCCTAATATAAAGCCCGGGAAAAAATCGTATACATAATGAAGAAAGTTGGGTTGACCACAGGAAATCTGTGATTGGTTGCTTGGCAAAATTTCCCTCTTCTGACACAGGGTCTGTCGCTCTCAATCTCTTTTTCAGTCTGAATGCGACCCAAAGTTCAGGAATTGTCTTTTACCTTGTGATTATGACCAGATTAGAGCAGTAATTATTGTTCTATAGGAAATAGTGGAAGATAGTCTAGACACTGTCATACTGCATCTAAAGCCAGGATGTGGTCTAATTGTCACATTATAAAAATGATATCTGTATTTTAAAGTGGTAGACACAGATTGTTTAAAGTACCAGTACAACAATGTGAAAATACTCAATTACAGTCAAGTCCTCCTGTATTACTTAAGTAAAAGTCCAGCAGTATTATCAGCAAAATGTAATAAAAGAAAATACTTAAAATACTTTCTCCACAGATAAATGGCGCTTGACTGTTACATTATTATAAATTACATTATTAATTAATAATATAATTATTAATAATAATAATGCATCAATGTGTAATAGTATTTTACTGTTGTAGCTGGTTGAGGTGCAGCTAATTAGATACATTTCATTATCATAAAGGTTTTAATATTATATGGTAGTTTAGTCTGTTGATCCCCGACCTGAGGGTCATGAGATGATTAATGCGGTAGGATTTGCTATTATATTTTGGACTTTTCACTAATATTTGCTTAAAATAGTAGATACTTTTTGGCCTCAAAACTTTATTTAAACAAAACCATCTGAGAAGTCTAGAGGGGAAATCACTGTTTGGTGGAAATGTGAACAACTTCTAGACATCTGAAATGGGAAAAGGGACAAAGTGGTCACAAACCAAAAATGATTGGGAACCACTGATTTAATCTTTTCTTTTTATGTAAAATCTTCCCCTACTTTTTCCCTCTGAAATGTGAGTGTGAAGTAGCATGACATGTAAATAATCAAAGTATACTCAAAGGAGTAATATGTAAGTCTAAGGAAAATAATAAATATATACAGAATATACTCCCTGAAAATGGAAATATTTTCCTCAATTTGTGAGTAAGAAACTTTCCTAAAAGCCATTTTTGGTCATGACCTATTGTCATCATCCAGAGAGAACATTCATTTACCGATGGCAATTACAAATTACTAGAATCAGCCAAAGCTTTATCTGATATAAAATAACGTCTCAGCCTAATGGCTTCTTTTTTCTTATCTTCTCTGTCCATTGAAAAGTCTGCTCGCATTAAAGCAATCATTACAACTGGCAAAGATGTGATTGTATCATTGCAGCAAGGATTAGTTATTATTTTCCACGACCTCTCTTTGCATCAGCAAATGGTCCAAGAAAAGAACAATTTTTTTATCAGAGGTGATCCAAAAAGATGAAGTCTCTCTGCCAACTCTCAATCCCTGGACCTCTGCCTGGTCAACCACTGCTCTTTTTCACGCTCCACTGTTATTAAACAGTTGCATTAGTCCATAATGGAAATACCACAGTGTGTGTAATAGACTGTAACTAAAAACTAAGTGTCATTTAGAGAAATCTTGTCATGTCATGACAAATCAGTTCTTACTCTCTGAATATAATGAGGTTCCTTTCATCAACAGCACTCATGCAAAACTCTATTTATATGGTGCTTTTTAAATCCTCTCAATTGAGGATAAACAAATGGTCCACTGACTAAAAGTATTGAAATAAGATGTTGGTTAGCAGAGAAAGATAACGAGCCACAGTGGGAATCACCCAGTGTTCAATCTATGAGTCACTCGCAAAAGCAAATTATTGAGCCAGCATGTTTTTTCGTTTTTTTTTACTG